GAAACCTCATTGGTCCCCTCATGGTAGGCTTGAACTGCTGATCTTAGTTAGTTAGCAGCCCAGCATGCCACTCACTGTACCACCAGAGCTGGAGAATCACTATGCTGGTCAACATCAACCGATTTCCACGAATTTTTTTACTCTCCTTAAAGGCACAGAGTCAGTTCCCTAACTCTCACTATGGGTTGCAGAATCTAACTTAGAGATGAGGAAAGAAACACAATGCTTTGTCCAAGATGGGGGGCAGTTGGGGTTGAACTTCTCCCTCAAATGTCTTTCCCCCATTTTCTTCCAAGTTCAAGGTGGCAATTTGTACATTTTGAAATGTCAACCTTTGTAGGGATTTGTAAGCATCCTCCACTTTAAAGGGACCTTGTCATCGTGCACTGTCATAAATGACTTTTAGCTTTTATACCGTTGGCCCTTTTGCGTGCTTAACTGAAGACTGTACCGCTGCGCCCATTCAAGGCCATTGTCATTTTGGGAAAAAAAGGTAAATGTGCATCAGGAGAGAAAAAGCGAGAGAGAAGAGGTGCTGGTGAGAAAGTGGGTGGGTGCTCTGTGGGCCACAATCATCTTCGCTTCTGTCTGAAATGCCAATGCTAAAGGATGGTTTATGTCAGCAGAGAATTTTCTTGTGTCCAGAAGAGAAGAGGGTAGGCTCTAGTTACAGAACCCTGGAGCCTGCAAATTAGAGCTGAGGTTAATTTTGGAAAAAGGCAGGTGACTCAGGTTTACCTGGAACTTTGAAATAATTGCCAATCCTACTCATTTCAAAGTCTGTTCTGTGGGGAGCAGGGCTCAGTCCCCCCCATGACAGTGTCTGTGTTACCCTGTATGCCCCTCGGCCACAGCTGATCTCACATCGTAACTTTCAGATTAATTCTGTTAAAAAATCACCCAGGTGAGGTTTTCAGGTGCAAATTCATGCACAGGCATGCCTCACACGCTTTATGGGTTACTGATTCTATGATTCATTAAGATAGTGAAAAACAAGATCCCCCCCCAACTATTATGACCCCAATTCTACCTTACAATTCTGGCTAGACCAGAGCATGTACACGGGTACAGATAAGAGCTGGAAACACAGGGAATCCAGGACAGATAGACCCCTCAGGAACAATAATGAGAGTATCAATACCAGGAGGGGAAGGTGGGCGAGAAAGGGAAAACCGATCACAATGATCTACATATAACCCCCT